TAGGAGGATACTCCAAAGATTTCCACAAAAGGTCTGCAAGATTCCATCACATGTCGCTCTCTGTAGGATACCCCACAGGACTTCCCACATTTTTTGGGTGACCCGTCAGTCACTCGAATCCCACATGAGGTTCCCAATGAAAAGTAGTGACTAGCCTCTCAAGAGAAGTGACTCACTGGGCTGCAACAATCACATGAGATTGTATACAAACAGGCACATACAAGTAAGGGTTTTGAGGATCCACACCCCTGCTATGGAGGGTACGACCCTGCCATGAAGATCATGAAGAGCCCAAGGATTCTTAGGGTAGCAAATGGAACTAAAGACCTTCACAAACAGCTTCATGACTCTCCCCCCACTCAGCTTTTCCCGCTGATCACGCAAGCATCTGCACGCCCAGTGGCACACCAGTCGAGCTGCTTCCACTGCCAGTGGCGCCCTGGCGGTGCCCAGCTGAAAAATCACCTCGACATGACATGACATGTTTCTCCGTTCTACCCATCTTGGGCACCGCTGGATGTCAAAAGAATGGGCCAAGGAGGGAGTAAAGGGCAAATCGGATAATCAGTGAGAAGGAATGAATGGATCTGGTACACTGCGGCAAAAACAGAAAACACGGAAGTGGAGTTCATACCCCAGTTGTAAAGGAAAGTAGTCTTCCTTTCGGGAAAATGCCATCCACGTAACCATGTTACTGAGTCAGAGTGTAGGTGTTTCGTGATGTTTGTCGCAGCTCAGTGGTGGGCCTCTTCCCCCATCTTGTCCCTCTTCTGCATTCTTCTCCCAGCGCAAAAAAAAGCATGTGCACGTCCAAATTCATGCTTGAGAAGTATCATTGAAAATGGGTCGACCTTCTACCAGGACCTTCCAACAGGTGGTTTTGGGACACCCCTTCAAAGCTTTACCTCCAAGAGCCTATTCACAGACACCTCTTTGGTAGAATACTTTGGGCTCCCTCTTCAACCCATCCGTCCCGGCGCAGCATCCGTCCGGATTTCATGGCGCCGACCTTCTTGGTCTCTGTGGCGCAGGTGGAAAAGACCGAGACTTTCTCCTGGGCGAGGAGAGGAGAGGCCGGGGTGGCGATGGTGGGTTTGCACCTGCCCTTCTGGCTGGGTAGACGAACGGTCAAGCTTTTCGGAACCGAACCCAGGGGGGTTCGAACGCAGTCCTGAGTGGTCTCCCTCTACACACCCACATGACACCCTGGTCTGGATGATGGCTGATTGCTACTGACACGTGATGTGCATATCGCATGAAGGACGTGCATGCACGGAACCCAGCATGTTTGAGCCACGGAACTGGCTCCTGATCTCTCCTGTTGCTTTGAACTGGCTCCTGGCTCCTAATTAGCTTTGCCAACATCTAAAATATTCAACTGACATTGACGAGATGTCCTTTCAACCGCATTGGCCAACTTTCCCACCCCAATCCGCTGCGTGTCTGTGACCGGGCCCTGACCTGGTGTTTCACCTTCCTTACCTTGGTGTTTTACCACTGACAACTCTGCTGTTTTACCTGGTGTTTCCTGCATTTTGGCTGGGTGATGTTGTTTTGAACCTTTCAATCCGCCACACACATCAACAATGTCTATGACACTCCCAGCATCGGATGAAAAGGCGCCCCAAAAACCCTTCGGAAACGGACGGCGATGAGCCCAGGGTCCCTTGGGGAGACATAGTCAATGCAACCTCAGGATGCCGCATGGAGCTTCAGTGGTCGCGCGGACCGAGCATGAAGAGACCCGGTGGAGAGGCACAACGGTTGGGGCAATGCAGATGGTGGCCGTTCAGGAGGTTCAGAAACAATGGGGCAGGGTCAGCTTTCCATAGCTGACAGTTGAAGATCAAGGTCCAAGCTCTGTACCCTGCGTGTCGTGATATATGTCGAGTAGGATACAGCTGTCCGAAGGAAGCCACTCAAGGTCTCCAGCCACAAAGGTTGACGTGCTCACCGTCTTGAACCGTCTCACCGCCTTAACCTTCTCAATCTCAAGAATCTGTGGCGATTGATGGTTGGGAAGTCGATCGCTGCAAGTGCCCTTTCGGATTTGCAACTCCCAGGAACCGGGAAACATACAAAACATACAAGGACATATTCCCAAGAAGGGGATTCACCCACAAAAAGGGAAAGCAAACATCCCCCCCCCCAAAGTCAAAGGCAGAACCACCAGGTCACCCACGCATTTTTCCTATGCCGCACTCCCCCAAGGCCCAAGATAGCCAAGATTCACCGAATTCCGAACCCATCCACCTTGGAAAATACGCCGCTCTCTGCCCAGGCACCAAAGGCGTGGTTCTCCACCCGTTGCGCTCCGATGAGCTTCCGGTCTATAATCTCCTCGCCATAGACGAGGCTGGCGCCATAGCGCAAACATTCCAAACGCAAGGGCAAAGTACCTGGAGTGGCTCGGATGGCACTGCGGAAGCCTTGAAGGCTGGTCAGTGGCTTGAAGGCTGTGAGGGGGTCAGTGGTTCGACGGCTTTGAGTGGGTCAGTGGTTCGAATCTAGGGGAGCTGAATCTGGCTGAATCGGCCATGCCACAAACGCGTGCAAATGTGCAATGAGGTGGACAGCTCAATAGCATAAAGCTTTCTCAAGCAAGTGGCCTCAAACCTTGGTAAACCTCCGGTGAGCTAGTGAGAAAGCTTTACCTTCTGGAGACTCTCAATGGCCTCAACCGATAAATCTGTCTCACTCTAGCTTGTACTGTTGATGGGTCTTCCGAAGCTGTGCCTGTACTATGGCCAGGGTGAGGAAAACAAATAACTAGGCCACACTCAAGAGTCGAACACTAGTTTGGAAGTGTGGTATATCATGTTCATGTAGACTCTTGAGGTACACAAACCCACCCACTGAAAAATGGACATCCTCTTCACATGGAGGGTTTATTATGGGTTATCAATCAAGGATTTCTTACAGTTCTTACTCCATACGTTCTTACCATAACTTCTTACAGTTCCCATCCGTTCTTATTCCACCTCCATCCCCCATCCAGCCTACGGAACAGAACATGGGACCGAACTTAAGGGGAACTCCCTGAAACTCGGTCGCTGTTGAATTGGGGAAGAACTGACACACCGAATCGGCGCCCAGGGCGACGGCGGGTGGGCCCAGGGCGCTGGGTGGGTCGCAGTCGCACGATGCGATGCGTACACTCGAACACGGATGGCATGGAAATGGATGGAATTGGCCACTGGGAAGAGCAACTTGTCCTCTTCAAACAGGCGAAATTCCATAATTTTCCACTTCCATGGTTAGTGAGTCAAAGACCCAAATGCTTTTGTCAAACCAACTCGACCTCTCAGCTCTCCTCAGTCGCATCACCGTGGCCTGCGCGGACCATGGGCGCCAGCACTTCCACGTTGCGGAACTTCATGGGGTCAGCCATGGCGTCGACTAAAAAGTGGAAGTGAGAGACCTGTGGCAACCTGTGGATTACTTTGAGATATCCAAAACACTCCATGTATATTTACAAAGGCAGGCAGTTTCAGGGTCAATGCAGGTTAATATTCCATACATGCAGTGTCTGGGCATACATTCATAATATGCTGAGTTATGGTGAGGTCAGGCTCTACCACAAAGCGTATAGAACTTATCAAACCCTATAGTACTAATTATGCATGGTTACAATCATATACGATATACATCTAGTATTGGAAGCAGTCGCGTTGTTGGCCGGTTTGTAGAGGAAAATTGTTTTTCCAAGGTCAATTTTTCAAGTTCCATGTTGATCTTCCCTAGGTGTATTCTATATCTACCGTGCATGACTCAACAGAACAAGCTGAGAAAGAGCAACGGACCACGGAACGAAACAATAGGTGGTTTGCCTAAACGTGGGATGGCTGCAGCTGCAGTCTTGAGTATTGGCCAAGGCCTTGGATTTGCCTCTTGGCTGCTGGACGTCTGCAGAGTGCATGTGGCTAATTTTTAAACGATTCTCCCCGTCTTAAACACACCAAATTTGCTGACAATGGCTTTACAAAAGCATCCATAAACATATACAATGGTTTGAATGTCTCCAAGCCTCCAAGCATGAATTTGACCAAAAAACGATTGACATCATGAAGCATGGATCGAGGAGGCCGCTGTACTTATAAGCAATATGGAAAGAGTCGCTCCCTACCAGTGCTGGGAATGCGTTGTCTTGCCATCGCCGGAAGCTGAGCAAGGCCATTGGGCGACTCATATGGATGCCGGTCATCTCAAGTCTGGAACCTTTAAGCAATGGCTTCCCAGCAGCTCCTACAGCTTTACTGTAATGCAGACTGATTCATAAAGCATCACATGTCGACATGTGAAGAGGTGCTAGAATCCAAATGGGGGTACCCACGTTACAACAACGAAAAAAAGGGGCGGTCCAGTGGGTGCGATGAACCGGTCCAGATGCGCATCCAAATGGGGGTGGCTTTATCAAGATTCCATATACCAGAACCCTCTAAGGGGTGCCCAATGGAAGCCTATAGGTAGTGTGGGGTAGTCCATTGGACACCCCTTGGAGGGTCCTGGTATGTTACATTACATGTCATGTCTCAGATCTACTGATTTCATGGCCCATGGCTCATGTCCCACAGTAGTTCTGAACCTTCGACGTACAGAGATGTTGAACAACTAGGTAAATACTATACAATATAGGAGCAAAGCCAAAGCTTTTGCCGCCACGTTGGGGTCCTGCACAAAGATGGCAAACCCTGTACAACGAACAAATTCGTTGTCTGCCCATGGGCATGGGCATCCTTTCTTCGAGGGGTCTACAACTACTTGACCATGCTAGGTGCCAGGGTCAAAGCCTTCGGACAGAACATCTACGGTCTGCAGAGTCTGCGGTCTCCATGTTGGATGTCCGTCTGCTGCCTGTCTCATGATGGGCCGTGCCACCTTGTTGGCCCCTGGGCCTCCTTCATTGCAACATGTCATAGAACTAGGAACCACTGGCTGATGGACCAGCACCTCCATCCCTACTTCAGTGGGGGGGGGGTTCTTCGCGGAGGGGTTCTCGCCTCTGAGCGGAAGGATCCTGCCAAGCAGGGGCTGCAGGTGTTCGCCTCTTCCGTGCGGGGATCGAAGTGACCTGAGTCCGGGCGTTCTGACGGAGTCCGGTCATGGACGCCACAAACCGACATGGATAAGTGGAGACGGACGCCTCCCCGTTGCGTAGAGAACACGCATAGAGGAGCTTGACCTGATATAGATAACAGGACTGCCTGTAGGAACATTATGGGGAACGCTCTGGTTATAGAACACTCTGGGGAGCATGATATGTTTCTTTCCGTATAGGACTGCCTGTAGCCGTATATATATAGTCTGTTCATTTGTCGTGACTGCATCTGGGGGTGGGTCACGTCACCACTGTCACCAACCTATCGGATGTCATCATAGGGAATCTGCACCAGTGCCTCTCCATGCATCCTGCGCCGATTTTGGTTTGCAAGACGCTTGTTTCTTCTTGTTTCAATCATGCACTCTACACCAAAGGTCATTCACTGAAACATAGACAACTCCAAGGGTACATTTCTCTCGCCATCACCCTAGTTGGTTCATGTTCTCAACCACTGGGTTGCAAAAAACACACACTCACACATGGACAAAATACCACCAAGGTGGTCCCTTCAATGGTCTTTTGGCATTCTGGCACATCCTTCCTTTGCGGAACCGGCTCCAATGTCGTTCCAAGTTCTGCTGGTGCTGGCAGTCCTGGAGCCTCTATACTCTGTAGCTGCACTCCGGATTTTCATCTGACACATTCTGGCACTGAACTCCATCCGAAAGATGGGAGGTGACGCCTTGGGATAGTTTCACCCACCTGACTTCCTGGTGACATACTCAATGATGTCTGCTTGGCCTCGGCGGGCTTGAGATAAACAACAAACACAAAGCCGACAAACAGGAAGCGCGAACACCTTGTTATTTTGGTGGGTACTAGGGTAGGGGTAGTAAAACGTGCTTGCAATACCAAAGATTGACACTGGAGGCTCAAATCTCACATTGAGCATCTGCCTGCCTGCCTAGGAACAATGGATGAAGGAAAACTTCCCTTGAGCTGGTGGGCGGTCTCTTCTTGGACGGTCATACGGAAAATGGATGAATTACAGTAATATGAATTAACGATGGATATCTCCCCCAAACTGTCTAGGTTCGAACGACTGATCGTTTTGAGACACCACTCGAGGGAGCACGACTGGTCGAGGGCTGCACGACTAGTCGCATCTCCTCTGTCAAGAAGGGCTGCACTTGTGGCGCTCCGTGGTCATCGCCCAGGTCTTCCAGCTACTCTGCATGCTGGAGATGGCAAGTGGGTCTGTGGGTGAAAACTGCTCCCGAAAGCCAGGCCATACCAGGGGATCTCCCCTTCAGAACTCATCAATAGTTTTTCACACCAGATATGATGCCTGAACACCTCAGCTATCCTCCACTGAAAAGCCTGGAAGGCTATATACTCACATGTTTATATATGCTTTTCACCCACATCCAGTGTTCTGCGACTACTCATGAGATCTCAGGAGTATCTTCTCCCAAGCCTACTCGGTTGAGGGGGGCGCAAGGTGATCAAGAGGGCAAAGTGGGCCACTGTGAAATCCATTTGAGGGCATTTCTCCTCAAGGTCAGGCAGCATGTATTGCAGCTCTTGCTTGCATGCTTCGCTCAAATGTGGCCCTAAGTCCTCACCTCTAGCAGCCACCACGCCAGCAATGATTATGAAGATCATCGGTGTCAAGAGCAACGTGCTTAGCAAAAGTCCCACCAGTGGAGCTGGACTCCGCACATGGCTCCGGAAAAAACAGCCGTGCGAAGGCAGAACCCAACATCAGAATGCACGCGAGAATCACAATCGCAAAGGTCCTATAGACCGACTTCGCACGAGTCTCCAACTGGGCCTCGACTTCTTGGATCTCTGGCGCATCACCAACCTGGCACGGCCCGGGCCGGAAAGGGAAACTTAGTGATGGGCAAGAATTGCAAAGATATGCAAAGGTAGAGGGACATGTGATGTGTGTGTGTCAGCAAGCTGCGGTTTAGGAGGCTTGAAAGCTTGAATGGGGGCACATTCGACGAGGTGAACAATTAGGAACATGAGATAGCAGTAGCTTCACAGGCTTAACACCCTGTAGTGTTATTTTTGAACTCTTGTTTGGTCTTGATGGTTCACAACCCTGCACTTCCTCTCACTATAGTATACTGTGTTCTAGAGTAGAGTATTTTGTCCCACAGATTGTCTTATGACATCTTATGACCCATCCCGAGAATTCCTTCCGCTTTCTCCAAGCCACACGGTTCACGGACTCCAGCACAGAGTTCCAAGTGTCTGGTGTCACTGCTCTCCAGTGCTTGGTGTCTCGTGTCCAAGACTTTGGGAGAGTCTTGGTGACCTCCTCAATCTCCAGTCCTCGCTTCAGCCAGCGCGGCGAAAGGCTGAACTTCTCCGGAGGGGAACACGAGAGCTACTGGGGGGGGGAGGGTCCCATGAACTACTCTGAAAGGATCTTCCTGTTCTCCACCCGGAGAGCAGTTTCGCCGCAATTTCCGGGCCAACTGACATGGAAATGGGCCACCAGATCCATTACACTAGACTCACTTAGACCCTTGGGACATGTCTGGATCGTCCTCTGGGCACCCACCAGCCATCACGTCTGAATCGAAAGGATATCTGGTGCACATTCATCGGCAGGCCCCGCGGTACACCGAAGGTGGGAGCTGCAGTCCCAGAGCTGCACCCCCCGTGGTTCACGCTGGCGCCCGCGGGCGCGGGCGCGGGCGCGGGCGCGGGCGCGGGCGCGATCGTCGGCGCCGTCACCATGGGTCAGAGGGAGAGGGGTCAGAGCTGAGGCTGGAGAAGCTGGAGGGGGGGCACGCTGGCTTTGAGCCACTTGGACGGTATATATGCAGCAATTCAAGGGTTGCACCATTTTGTCCTTTGAACTTTAATCATCATATTTTTGCCCTACAATGCTAAGCTGCATAGACACCACTTTGCCCGGTGCAACACACCGGAGCAAGAGGAATTCGACAAAAGATCCCGGCAGATTTGTTTGACAACTCTGAGTGAACTGACTCCAGCTGTTTCTTGAACTCTTTCTGACGACCTTTCCTGGTGGAAGCTTTACAGCACCTTGCTGCCTTGATGCTACACTCATCTGCTACGTTGGGTCTCATGTGCACCTCAAAGCCCTCACTACCCTCCGCCCTCGGCAGGTCTTCCAAAAAGCCCAAGCATGACATCGGTTTTGATAGGACGTTTGACCATATGTTGGGTGGTTAGTGCTCCAACATCAAGGTCATTCAAGCTCTAAGTCCATCTATACCTGCCAGCAACCTCGTGGTTAACTATAGAGAAACATCCGCAGACTCAAATATAAAGGCTGCGACTCCTAAAGATGTGTTTCACGACAAACAAACACAACACTCTGAGGAAGTTCCAGGTATAGGCATATACCCAAGGGTACCTGTCCCCTCCTCACGTTCGGTGGTATTCCCCCCCCTTGGCACCCACCCCTGTCCCATTCTCTCAGGAGGTGGGCCAGGAGCCCTAGGGATAGGTACATCCCCCGGGTCTCGGTCTCACCCGAGGCAAAAAAACCACCCGGTCGAGCCGACGGTCGAGACGACTCCCGCTGAGCGTCCCGACGAAGGTGGTGGGTCCGTCGAACGTCTATGCCGCTTTCGCCGCTGTGCAGCGCTGTGACATCCGAAGCTTTGACCAAAAAGGGCCACTCCATCATCATCATCATCATCATCATCATCACCTAAAAACAAACACCATCAAAAACAGACACTCCATCAAAACAAACAGCTTTGACACATCATCACCCAAACACGACGTGTCTGGGGTTGCCAGGACGGACTGCCGATCAGTGCCAGGGCAGTTGGGGTGGTGCCAGGGGGGTCAATGGGGCGGCATATATGGCATGATATGGCATACATGGAGCGTCTGGGTCAAAGAGAAGGGATGACAAAAAGGGGTGGACTGGCCAATCTCCACGCAAGTCGACGCAGAGGTGGTAAGAGTGGCCACTCGGAGGAACTTCCTCGTTCTGTAGACGACCCACAGTGTTGACGATTGAGGACCAAGGACCCTGAAAACCACCAACTTATGAAGGAACATAAACCTTCCAAGGTCCACTTTCATTCTCTGCATTCTCCATATTGATTCAGTAAATGGGTAACATGTAACTGCCTAGAGCCTCCTTGAGGAAACAGTGGTCTACATAACTATACATATTGATGACGTCCTCCATCTGCACTGCTCTGATCCACATGTGACTTTACTTGTGGTACTCATGCCTGTGGCACATGATGTCCGTACAAAGTTTGGTTCTGCGAGTGGATCTTAATCAGCGAAGTTTGAAGCTATCACTGACGGTCCATAAGCGGCGTAGCGTCGGAACGGAAACCGCACCTTTTCTAGTCGCTTGATCCTTGAGCCAAAGTACATATGGTACATATATATGTACAAGTTGCACTGTACGTGTCGCTGCACTTCCATTCGCACCCCCCATGTGAACGGCAACAATATGTTCCGATCACACACGAAAATTTAGGGATGTAAGTGCTACAAAGAAATTGTGTGTTTTGCCGCGAGACTCATATGAGGCTCATACTACGAAACATGCTGGACTAAAGCGGACTTTTACATATAAAGTGTGCAACTATGGCTCAGAACCTTTGAAAATCGAATTGAACAAGTGAGACAGTCACGAGGCCTCGCTCAGTATCCACTCAAAAGAGCATCGCTTTGATGTAGATCCGAACTGGTGACTTCCACGTAGATGTCACATCGGCAACTGACTTCACACTTCTCAAAAGATGTAGGTTTTTTTTTGATTTGGATACACTTACAGAACGGCAAGTCGGAGAGACAGTCGGTGATTGTCTTCCTTCCATTATGCTCATGGTATCAAATCGTATTGATGATTTGCAATGATACACTTACAGCGTTTCAGGTCAGATAGACATCCGGTGAATGACTTCCTCCCTGGTTTGCATGGTATCCTCATAGTCGTTCAAAGAAATCACCACTGGCGATGACCTCTCCATCCACGATGATCCCAGCTGCCCTGAGCATCCCGCCGATCA